TTCCAAGGTTGTGTGCCTGTAACTAGAGGTAGCAGTCTTCATTAGCATCATCTATTCTCTCTCAAAAACACGAACAAAAAGCTCGTGTGTATTTCTGCCAAAACTTTATATCCAGCAACTTTTATGCCAGTCTTTCAAAATCACAATTCTTTTATCTGCAGCAAAATCCAGACAAATACAACAGTTAATTTTAATGCCAGCATCAAAAGTTGAAAAGCCATCTGCAGAGCAATTTAGTTAATTCGCTAGGAAATGACATCAGTAAGTTTGTACCTATCGCAATCATTTGCAGAGTTGAGTTTGTGAGGGCAGATATGGTCTGCGCTTCCTTGTAACCTTGTAAAACTACCTGCTAGAAGGTATTCATGTTGCTAGATCAATTTCCTCACAATAGGAAGTTTGCTATACCTGTATGTTCTGAAAACTGAGAAGAGTCAGGGGGTCTACACTGTATGCACAGTCCGGAAGAATCATTGCTGTAGAATGCGTCGGTTTTTCCTCTTCATGTATGTGGCAGTCATCAAGTCTGAATTGCAAGTAGTGCTCCCTCAGGTTGAGATTTTCTACCGAATCAGTCACAACTGAAAGCATCCTTCTCCCAGATTTGCCCTCTCATTCAGCAGGTGGTTGTTCATCCATGAATTATGCCCTGGAAGGTGACAGGGTTGTGACTGACATTTTTTTCTTGTCCATATTAAGGCCTCCCAGCTCAATACTGGAAGAATATGATATCGGTTAGACGGAAAAGCCTCCTGCTTATCTCATGCTTAGCAGAGTCAGAGCTCTGAGGGATTTTAAGCAGTGTCAATACCCCGGAGATATGGGCCTAATCAAATAAACTCAGCCAAGTACAATCCTACCTTACTCAGTAATGATCAAAGTCAAAGAAGCCTGTCCTTACCACTTGTTGCTGTCACGGCATCTGTCTTGATCACCACTGGTTATTATAGAAAACACAAATATTAGTTGATGTTTACCAAGAAGTCTGATTGACACTTCTCAAGACTGTCCTGTTATCATCAGCCAATTTTCTACTTATGAATTGACAGACAAGGTTTTACTTAAGATCTCAGAGTCCAAGGGCAGTTCTGTGTGTAAGTAAGACTGGCTCAGCTGTGAATCTCACGTACAGTTCTCATAGATCAGATGGATAGCAATATAATGTAAACAAACTCTAATTTGAAAACATTACTCTGAAATGATAGAAACAAGTATTGCCATTCAGAAGCCATGGCAATACAGGGAGTGTTCAGTTTCCTCTGATGTAGGATATTATGAAGTTTCCTCTTCTTCAGACAAATGAAATAAGAATTTCTGCTTACACTTCTGCTTGTTCTCCTCTACAATTTCAAAGTAAATCAAAGCAACCACTTCTTTTTACAAGAGTTACTGAAGTGAGGTGCAAAAATTGCCATACAAGCATAAAATGAGATGTTCACCATTGCTGACAATGTCTCCTGTACAGCTATCAACTGTAGTCTCTGACCGTGTCCAGTAGAACCCGGGTTTCCAAAAGTTAGCTCCAGCATAGTCTTAATGTGATTCATGCTCATGTCATGAAATTGCAGACTAGTCAATCAATTCTTTTAAGAACAGACAGATAAGATAATGTCCTCAGCTGGAATTACAGACACCTTTAAATAGGTGTCTGAATTGTGACTCCCATGGCCATGGTCCAAGCACACTAAAAACTCTTTCATTACACAGACGATCCATATGAACACTAAAGAGCTGACGATTAAGATATGAATAACTTGGGTACATTCTCTTGGATCACTGTTGCCTTAATTTTAAGCTCTAAATTATTTTCAAGAGCTGCTTTTAAAAGATCTGTAGGTTATCAGCAGCCTGACAGACCAAATTTCCTGAAAAGGTGGGAAGAAATGAATTTTCCCTTAAGCCACACTTCCTTACAGCAAGAGATTCCTCTAAATACGGTAAAAACTATCTGAATAAATGTCACCTGTAGGTGGTGGGAAACGTGTTGTTTTTTTCTAAGATGTGTGTCAGAGCTTTGATTCAGGACTTTAAAAGAGCAAAATCTCAAGGATGTCAACAGTTACAGCAATCCATGGGCGGTCTGTTTGCCATCATGCATGTGTTGCACCTCATTATAGGATGCTTTCCGGATTTCAGTTTTGTGATTACTACTGCCATATCTAGCATATCAAGATGGATGGTGTTTTCAAAGGCATATTTTGGTACCAGGAAGAAGTTGCTTGTCTAGGCTGGTATACTTGGTTTCAGCAGTGAAGCCTTTTTTGATTATTATCCCTGCCTTTTGTTATTGTTCCACATGTTTTAATGAATTGGCTTTGCTTGACTTTTTGTTTTAATTTGGATGCATTTGTACTAGTTTATAAATATGGCACTAAGCATGTGAAACCAAACAAGATCTCTTGGTCACAGAGCTGATGCTGATGAAATTAATGTCAAAGTCATAGATGCCAAGGTGCAGCTACTTATAAACATGCTGGTATCAATGGTCATAATGCTTTTTATATTTCTTCCCCTTGGAATTACAGATGTCTTATTTTGAAGTAAGGGTAACTGTTAAAGCTTCTAAAATTTTGGCTGAAGGACAGTAACAGATAAGAATAGCTCAAGTGCTGTATCTGAGTATTCAGGAGCGGGATGAAAGAGAGCAAAAGCAATGGCTAGAGCATTTGTCATGGATGTGTGCTTTTTTGGGGCAGAAGATTTACGTGCTATATTTGTTGATTAACGATGTGAAACAATTAGGACAGACTAATTTCAGTCATTATCAATAGCTGAAGTGTGTGTGGCGGGAGGAGGAGGAGGAATATCTGTGTCTGTGCCTGAGTGTTCTCTAACTTATTTGGGGGAGGAAGGGTCTAACATACGAAAAAAAAATGTTTATGTAAAAAACAGTACTTTTTTTCTTCAGAGATAGGATTTGAACTTATACCAATCCAGACTGCAACTGCTTGCCGTGAGCAATAGCAGGGGAAGCTTCAATGCCATCCCGACCTTTCCCTTACACTAACATACAAGGTGTGTGTGTATATATAGCTGTAAGAAAAAGCTATTCAAGAGTTTATGAGCTTGCATACTTAAGGTACAAAGGTATGTACAATGGAATCTACGCTGAACCACATGCGAAATAGAATTTTTTTCCATGAAGCGGGACGGCATACTTAAGTGACAGATTTAATACTCAGCGGTATATTTAAACCCACTGTATCGGTCTGCCCCTTTCTACTGAGGTTTCTCATCACCAAGATAATTTATCCCAAGTAGCAGGAAATGAGAAAGGCAGCCTGGGGAACACAGCAGGGAGGAATAAGGGTACATGGCCTTCATTACCAGCAGTATAAGGCAGGAGCAAAGGGGTATCAAAATGCACCTTGAAGAAAATATACTGTGTAGATGTGTACCTCTATACTGCAGGTTGCTCAGTGTAATTCATCTATGTGAAAATGTGTCCTGACAGAAAATGTCTATTGATATTATTCAGGACAGGTCAGTATCATGTCTGGTAAAAGACTGGATATTCTACTTCACATCACAGGTAGTTAAACTGTGAAACTGTCTATCACAGGACATTCTGGATATTAAAAATAGCACATGGATTAAAAAAGTGATCACACAAATGTATAGGAATCTCAGTTAAGGACTTCACATTGGTAATTATGGAAAGACTTGGCTTTCTTCCTGGCCCAAGTAGCCGAAATGGTTCACCGAGGCTCACTTTGAAAACTCAACACCACGCTGGATGCTAAGCACCAGTTAAGCTGTTCTAGTGCCATAGCTTTACCAGGGGTACAAAGCTCACCTCTTTCCTCTGATCATTTGTGGCTTTTTCACAATGAAGCGTGTTGTAACTGTGTATTAATTTATACACTAGCAAATGTACTTGATATACTTATCAAAAGGAAGTAAATGCACGCTGGTCATTCCTGGCCCTTGACTGGGAGCAGGCACAAAATTATTACTGTGAAGCGACAGAGGGGTCCAGCTAACTGAACATGTCAGTATCCCTCCTCTAAGAAAATTCGTAACTATCCACGCTCACACTATCCACTAAAAAGTCACAAAAAATGGATGACTGTGGGTTAGATGAAATTTTCGTCTTACCCAGACTAGTAGCTCTGAATGTTAATTGAACTTCCCAGCTTTTTTTAATGTTAGCTTTGTAGAGTTAAAAACTGGCATTAGGCTAAACAAATCTTTATTTCATAGAATGAACATAGATAGAGTCCCAATATTAGTATTTACAGAAGTGTTAATTCCAATTAAACAACTGTCATTTAGATATGCATGGAGAAAAACAATGCAGAAGTTACCCTATTCTGTCTTTACATGTACTCCGCAACTTTCCTGATTGTTGGCACTACTGGTGGAAGATCCTATTCCAAGCTTTTCTTATAAGGAAGATCTGCTCTTCATTACTGCCTTGAACTTCTTCCATTTGCTTACCAAGATTTTTCTAGGAGCTACGGCTTCCAGCAACTCTGTTTCGGTCTGAACCAATTTCCCTTAAAACCTGATAATGCATTTTAGGCCATGAGAGAAAATTGATTACCTCTCTAGAGCTTTTCTTTTGCTATCGTGACTTAATTGAGCTTAAGGAAAAAGCTCCAAATTGAAGTTTTGGGTTCTGAGCATGTCCCAAGCCTGAGCAGAAAGGCTTTAGGGAATGTATTAAGATAGTCTGGAACTACAGGAGGGTCTCATGGAATATCTATGGAGAATCATAGAGTCATCTTATTAAAAGCTTAAAAACTCCTCTAAAATGCAAATCTTGGCATCACTTGCCATAAAGCTAAAAGCCAACTGTAACTGTGAGCAGTTAAAGTAAAAATTTTATATTTTTTCATATTCCACACCCTGACCAAATACATACTTCATTAAATAATAAAATCATCTGATAAGAAGAGCATGCTGATATTAAAAAAGTTGATCATAAGACCTTAGTATGTCTTAGCCCTTAAGGAAGAGTTCTGGTGCTTTGCTTTATTTTAAATACGTAAGTCACGCTACATGTGGAAGGCTTCTAGGCGCAATCTGTTTGGATCTTCTGGATGTCTCAGGGCAATTCCATGTCGCAGCAGCAGCTCAACATAAGGTGGCCAAAATGAGTCATTGATCGCTACATAGGGTTCATGTGGTGTGCTCATTAATTTGTTTATAAGAATCTGGAAGACCAAAAGGATAAGATTTAGGAAATGAACAAAACAGCTCGATTTTTATCTCCTTTAACCAAATTTATACAAATTATTGTAATAAGACACTTATGTAGACAATATAAGAAATAAAAGGCAACAAGGGAAATACAAGACCTGTTCAAGGTAGAAGTAAAACAAAGAACTTCCAATTAACTTCATTACATCTTTTTTGATTAAAAAACTAGAACCAGAATTCTCCTTTTATCCAGACTAAGTTTTTCACCATCTGTTAAAAATTCTTAGTGGAATTTAGATAGCGTAACTGTAAATGCCTAAAAAAATCTGAACATGAAGGTGGTAAATCCTTATATAATTCATCTTTAAATCAGTATCTGTTAATTTAAGATTAAAAGCATTAAATAAAAGCTTGATTTTTGGGAATCACTTGCCTCAAAACCATAATGACTTACTGTCAACAAATCACTGTCCCTAACTCTCAGATTTTCTCAGAGAAGAACATCCATCTTTTTTAAATTTCATCTCACTAATAAGCTAAAAAAAAAAAAAAAGAAAAAAATGTCTCTCTTCTTAAACTGGGAAAAATTAGTATAGGTTAGGGGTTGACCTGCAGAGAAAGACCTGGGAGTCCTGGTGGACAACAAGTTGACCATGAACCAGCAACGTGCCTTGGCAGACAAGAAGGTCTCCTGGGGTGCATTAAAAAGAATGTGGCCTGTGGGTCGAGGGAGGTCATCCTTCCCCTCTACTCTGCCCTGGTGAGGCCACATCTGGAGTACTGTGTCCAGTTCCGGTCTCCCTGGTTCAAGAAAGGTGAGGAACTACTGGACAGAGTCCAGCAAAGTGCTACGAAGACAATCAGGGGACTGGAGCACCTCTCTTATGAGGAAAGGCTGAGAGCCCTGGGTTTGTTTAGCCTGGAGAAAAGAAGACTGAGAGGGGATCTTATCAATGCTTATAAAGATCTAAAGGGTGGGCGTCAAGAGGATGGGGCCAGACTCTTTTCAGTGGTGTCCGTTGACAGGAGAAGGGATAACGGGCACAAACTGGAACACAGGAGATTCCAACTCAACATGAGGAAACACTTCGTTCCTTTGAGGGTGGCAGAGCACTGGCACAGGCTGCCCAGAGAGGCTGTGGACTCTCCCACTCTGGAGATATTCAAAACCCGCCTGGATGCGTTCCTGTGCAACCTGCTCTAAGTGAACCTGCTTTGGCAGGGGGGTTGCACTAGATGATCTCCAAAAGTCCCTTCCAACCCTATTTTGTGATTCAGTATTTCCTGTATTTTGTGTCCTTCTGTAGAGAGTGTTAGAAATAAATGAGTTTGCACCAGTGAAAAGGTGAACATCGTAGTCCTGGTTTAACTTCACTACATTTGCACATCAAATCTTTTTGCTCATATCATAAATGAATAATCCAAATTTTTAATATCACTTTTTGTTCGGGCATGACAAGCACCTTACAACAATTCACCTCATCTCAATACTTCCTTATTTCTCTTTTGTTCCTTATCTAAAATAGAATTAGTTAATGGAGTTAAAAACAAAGATCAGTTTTGACATTCTTCTTCTGTTCTTGGAGACCATGTTTATGCCCTCATAATATTGCTCATGGGGAATACTGCAGACATTACAGATCAAATAATATTACCCATCCCATGGTGCTGTCTCAATTTATCCCAGATATTTCATCTTTCTATTCAGAGCTTCTAAATGTTACAGCTTTCCTAATTTAAGTAGGTACAAAATACTCTGTCTGCATCTTAACTGCTAAAGAAAAGCTCAAAATCATCACAATTTTTTCACCTATTGCTATTTAAAAAAACCTCAATGCTCTTCTTTTTCAGAACGTTCCAAAGAATTATTCCAGGTTATGTCTTTTGTACTTTATCTGCCCCAGTTCTGAGTATTTACCCCAAGTGCATTACTTCAGATGAATTGTCACTTAGTCTTTTCTGTCATCTGATACTCCGAAATAGCCTTTATGACTGTAACTTTACACACTTTTCTATTGTAAACAGTCTTTCAAATCTTCAACTAGTTCACTAAATTATCAATCAGAAGGGAATAATCCTCAAACTGTTGAAAAGGAAAATTTTTTACATTTGTAAAAAATTACAACTCATTACTGGAATAAAGAGTAGTATATTAAAAATTCTGAGGTTTGTATGAGAAAATTTACTGCTTGCTTACTACTTACACTAACTTAATAAAGTACGTACTCATATACCTAAATAATATAAATCACAAAATCACAGAATGGTCAGAGTTGGAAGGGACCTCGGGAGATCATCTAGTCCAACCCCCCCGCCAGAGCAGGGTCACCTACAACAGGTTGCACAGGACGGCGTCCAGGCGGGTTTTGAATGTCTCCAGAATGGGAGACTCCACAACCTCTCTGGGCAGCCTGTGCCAGTGCTCTGCCACCCTCAAAGTAAAGAAGTTCCTCCTCATGTTAAGATGGAACTTCCTATGTTCAAGTTTGTGCCCATTACCTCTTGTCCTATCACAGGGCACCACTGAAAAGACTGTTCCCATCCCCCTGGCACCCTCCCTTTAAGTATTTGTAAGCGTTAATAAGATCCCCTCTCAGTCTTCTTTTCTCTAGACTAAAGAGACCCAAGTCCCTCAGCCTTTCTCCATATGAGAGATGTTCCAATCCCCTAATCATCTTTGTAGCCCTTTGCTGTGCTGGCCACACTCTTCTTGATGCACCCCAGGATGCCATTCGCCTTCTTGGCCGCCAGGGCACATTGCTGGCTCATGGTCATCCTGTTGTCCACCAGGACTCCCAGGTCCCTCTCCACAGAGCTGCTCTCCAGGAGGTCAGCCCCCAACCTGTACTGATGTATGGGGTTATTCCTCCCCAGGTGCAGTACCCTACACTTGCCCTTGGTGAATTTCATAAGGTTTCTCTCTGCCCAACTCTCCAGCCTGTCCAGGTCACGCTGTATGGTGGCACAGCCTTCTGGTGTGTCAGCCACTCCTCCCAGTTTTGTGTCATCAGCAAACTTGCTGATGGTCCACTCTATCCCTTCATCCAGGTCAGTGATAAATATATTTAACAGGACTGGACCCAGTACTGACCCCTGAGGGACACCACTCATTACTGACCTCCAACTAGACTCTGCACCACTAACCACAACCCTCTGAGCTCTGTCAGCCAGTTCTCAATCCACCCCACTGTCCATTCATCTAACCCACAATTCCTAAGCTTTCCTGTGAGGATGATGTGGGAGACAGTGTCAAAAACCTTGCCGAAGTCAAGGTAGACAACATACACTATATACACTTAGCTTGTCAAAGTGGATTTATTGAAAATGTACACTTTAATTATTTAACAAAACATATGGAGATTGAGGAGACATGGTTAGGAACACACGCACTGATTGTAATTCTGTGAATGAAATGCATTTTTACAACAGCAAATCCTCAATCTGCAATCATAACACAAAGATGACTTTGCCTTTGTCTCTTTAAGAAACTATTATCTTTATCTGAAACTTGTGAAATTTAACAGGCACTTGAAGCTAGAACCAAGTTGCTCAACAAAAAAAACCAAACCAACAACCATAAAACAAAGATAAGAAACACTGAGAGTTCACGCCAAGACAGTTAAAATTAAAAGTAAGTCTGAATTTTTGGAACTAGTATGTTATTCCAAATGGAAATCAGACATTACTTGGATGTATTCACATTTTGAGGAGATTAACAATGTCAGAAAAATATTAAGGGCAATTTTAAAACACTAGAAGAGCTTTAAAATTTGAATTCCATAGGGAATGTGACTATTTTTAATTCTGATATGTTTTCAAGCTCTGCCTAATTTGGTATTAATAGGCACGCTGAGATACTTGAAGCATGTAAAATGGTTTTGATGATGTAAGCCCAAAGTCTGGGCTGTAAACTAAAGTGGAACAATGTCATAGCGACCCGATCATAGCATCTTAATACCAGAAAGTTGTTATTCACTGAGTTTTCCCTCAGGAAAAAACTTCTCACCCCTGGGGAGATCTTAAATATAGATGCTTACAACTGCCTAAACAATGATGATGGAGGAGGAATAGGAAATTTCACTTCAAATGTTACATTTAAGACAAGAAGGAACAATGCTAGTGGAAAGACTTTTAATCCTCCTTCAAAATTACGTTTTGCAATTCAAATTCATAAATTACACTGCGATTAAAAACATACATTAAGCAATGCTGGCATACTTATAAAATCCATTAGAAATGCATGAATCAGATTCACCAATTTCCTCATATGAGAAGAAAATCTAATTCATACACAAGACTACACATTAATTTTTCTTTCTGTAGCTGCTATTGTATTACATTTCAGTGAAACAGTACAAAATATAGCATGAAATGGACCTATTGATATTTCTGTTAAGCATAGCATTTGTCTGCCCTAATATAAGCCATTAAGGCTCATAAAACTTCTTTAAAATAATCATTATAAAATTAAGCAATAAGGGATAATCATTCTCCAGCTTAAACTGAAGATTTGGTTATCTAAATTATTGCCATATTTCTTGAAAAAAAAAAAAAGGGGAGGGTTGATAGGAATTAAAATAGAAATCAGACATTCTTTAGCATTCTATTTTTCAATCAATGATCCTACCCTATGTCATAAACTGTTATTTATCTTATTAATATATTACGATCAGATCTGAGTATGAGAAAATCCCCAAAACCTCCACACAAAACCATCTTACCTCTAAAATTTCATTCAGCGTTATCAATTCTACAGCTGGCTCTTCAGAAGAATTCTGCAAAGACAACCACCAATTAACACCAATTAAAGATAACCGCCGATTAACAGAAACCAAAACTAAGTAGTCAGGAAAAAATGTTAATTGACAAAGAAAAATAATCACAGAATTATTTGATTGCATAGTACACAACAGATGAACACTTTTACTTAGATTTAGTGACGACAAAAATACTAGGTAGTATTTAAATTATTCATCTACCAGTTCCATACTACACACTTTAAATGTAATATTTTTTAATTATTAAGAAAGATTAATCTTAAGTGATCATAGTATATCTACCTGGGTTTACATTTCAATAAGACCAAGTACATCATATTTACAAATGTAGTGCAGTGCAAAACATTCTATGAATATGATCTGCTAGGAAAAATATTTTTCTTGAACTTTAGAAAAATGTTTACAATGCAAATTTGACACAGCTCAAGAACTAACTTCAGAGTGCCTTAATATTTTTTCCTTAGTTGCCAATTTGTTTACTTTTTGTTTACTTTTACTGACTTCAGTTAAAAAATTGCCCAAGCTTAAGAAAGAGAATTATGAAAAATCTGAAAAAATAAGTCCTTGATAAAATACCATTTGTACAGCAATCCATTAGAAAAATTACTTGTTTTCATTTGTAGCAAGCAAATCAAGCTGTTTGCCTATAAACTGATACATATTACTTAGGCAACTCCAAAAAAATCAGTTTGTGCTCTTGCACGGTGAACCTGATTCTTTTATTTTTCAATTTTAGCCTGTTTCCCCTTCCACTTCACACTGAACAAAATAAAGGAGAAAATACAGCAGCGGTGGCTGCTTACTCAGCTCCACTGTTGAATATGTCAATTTAAGTCCTAAGATATTAACAGATCATCAGCACCTTACAAAAACTCCACTTCTGGAACACAAGAAGAATATAAGCAATAAAGGAGAATTTGTGAAAGGCAAGTTCTGGCTCCCTTTTTCCAGGCACAGTACTTAATAGTCTCACTTTCAGAAAGACACAAGGGGGAGGGACAATACTGCATGCTCCATGGAAATCTTGCAAACCATGGAGCTGTGTTCAACAATGCTTATCGTTTTGCCTTTATCTTGATACTAGGTGGAAGAAATAGAACCTACGCTAAGAAGCTGCAAGAGGTTCCTTGGAGCAATCATGAAGATGCTTCCCTGGCCAAAAGTATTACTTTGTAACTTAGGTTCAATATTCATATTTCAAAGTTGAAATTAGGTTATGACTTCAGTAATTACTAAAACTGATATACAAAGAATAAAATCTTAAGGATAGCAGTATAAAGAGGTTTGTGCTCTCACAGAACTAGCAAACAAATAAGGTTTATAATACACATTGTTAATATTGTTTTGTAAAATTATATTACTTACATATTTTAGGTGTCACCAATAAAATAAATACCTCTAATTAATTAATGTTTATAAAGTCACTTTTAAGCAGGAAGCTCAGCATTTATTTAACCCGAAAGGCACCTTCTTCTCCCTTCCATGAGATAGAATGGCGTAAAGAATATTCCTCAGCATATGACTTTTCACATTTCTTATCTTGAAAAAAATGTGTCTTTTTTAATCTGAGATTTAGAAGGTAAGATAATTCTTACCTCAATTACTACCTAAACTAAAGTTGTTGGGCCACGGCAACAGAAGCTAACCTGGCCTGCTGTGATTCAGCCTTCCCTCCCACTCCCGATCTCAGACATGGGTGCCTGGTCCAAGGAGGGTGGAACCAGAACAGTGAGGCTTGGAGCAGTTCACACTACCCGGGAGCCGTGAACTACAGTCATCAGCCCCCCACGCAGGACGACTGAGATCACAAGAAGCTTTCATGAAGTGAAGCAAAATTATTGATGCAATTTTGACTTAAGAGTTCAGTGCTTCCGGAGTGTTGAACCAAGCTGATAATAGATGTGAATAAGATGTTCCCTTCAATCAATATAGCAGCAAATTTCATTCCTAATGCCATCAATTTGTATTTCTGACACAATAAAGAAAACAATACAGGTACAAATGGCCGTCTCTCCTGCCTTCACAGTTAATCACTTAGATGCAGATTCCAGGGGACCTGCAGTTCAGTCATTACGATCCAACTGAGTTAAGATACAGAAGAAGCTATGAATTCACAAGGAGCGAAAAGAAAGAAAAAGACTTGTCAGAAAACAAACTGTGTTTAAGAGTTCAGAAAATGTGTAAATAAAACTAAAACTAGGATAAAACAAGACCTTGCTTGGACAGTTATCAAAATAAATTTTAAACTTAAGTAAAATAAAAAAAAAGGTAGAAGGTGAACTTCTGTGAACAAGGGAAGGGTTGATTAATCCCAAACACCTTCAGTGATTATTTTTTTCTTTAGACTTTAATAAGGAAAATCGCATGGAAGAGATGAAGGCAGGGTAGGTACTAAGAATTTCTGATAGTACAACAGAGGCTGAGAAAATTCAAGCAGTAGATTTTGCTCTGGGGTGGAAGATTTTACACAAAATCTTTCTCAAGCTCTCAAACACACACGTGAGTTCACTGTTTCTTATATTAAAACACAGCTGGCTATGACCATGAACAACTTGTTACAACTTTGACATTGGCACTACCTTGATGATGGGATTGGAAGGCAAGATCTCCAGAGGTCGCTTTCAGCCTATATTTTTCTATGACATCACATAAATGGGAGCAAATACATTTTTGTATCTAATTATAGGAAATATATTTTTAATGAAATACTAATGAGATATATATATATATATATATATATGGGACAAATAGACAATTGCTTAAAATGTATCTGGGAAACTCATCAGTGTTTGAAGAGCCATGTCCTAGAACAATTGTAAGATTAATAAGAATCAGCAAATAGGGGGATGACATATCAGGCTGAAATCAGGAAATATAAGATTGAAAGACAACTGTTAATTAAATCCCTGAAGCTTTAATTTCTTAATGTTGGAATAAAATGTATCATATTCAGTAACAGCAGGAAACTGCAAGGCATTGATATGCAGAACTAAGATATAATAGAATAAGGTGTTTGAAGATGGTTGAATAAGAGTTTGATAATGACTGCGAGCTAGTAGTTGTGTTTATAATATTGGTTTTTACCAGGTTCCAAAAAAGATGAATCCAAGTGGAAGCAAATACAGAAACTTGGTGTTATTAAGATAAAGTCAGGGAACTGAAAATAATTTATCTTACAGGAGAACAAGAAAACTTTGCTAGTTCAATTAGCAAAACAAAGAAAGAGGGTATAAGATTGCTGTCTATATCAAGAAGGATAGACACGAGAAAGAAAGCTATTCTAAGGACAAAACTGGCATAAGAATACGTGGATCTGTGTTAGACATGAATAAATTTAGACTGGAAGTTAGGAGGTGGTTTCTAACCAGACTTCTGAGGTACTAGAACAAACCCCAATGGAAACAGTAGTTACAAAAATAATTAGTTTTAAAATAGAGCTCAATGATAATGTTAAAGAAATCATATTATGTGGTTGTCTGAAATAATAGGGAACTGGAGTAAAGAAATCCTTTCTATTTCTTTATTCTTAAGTGTGTCTGAAATAAAAATCAACCCCCACCTTTTTTGAAGCCATTCTTTGAAATAGTAATGGTAAAAGGTTTATTTTTACTGCAGACTATGAATTTATTATGCAAAATACTCCCTGACTGCCTATTTTCCCTAAAGTTTTAAGATAATTTTTGGCTCAGTTTGCCTGAACAGAAACTGATGGTTAACATTCCAAACTACTCTGTAATTATAAACACTTGTCCTTATTATTGTTCCAAAAACATTGTTAGACAATTAAAATTTGCTTTGCCAAGGAAAACATTAATCCACTCGCCTAGTCCAGTAAAAAAGAAAGTGGAAGAATTTGGAGTGAATCCCTCACCATTTCCAAATTTGGCACAACTTGCAGTTCAGTAAGAAATACAATACATTGCTGTGCATCTCATTGGGTAAAGGATGTACGCACTAAAAAAGAAAATACACAGCTGGGAACAACCGTCAGTATAAACCAACCTGAAAAATACCAATTAAACCTAAAGAATCAGCTGTAAGGACTATACTTATTTCAAAATATAACTGCAGATTCTGTGCTAGTAAGTTAAAAAGATATTGCATCTAATTAAACAGAAATTGAACATTCCAAATCTAGTATTTATTAAGAAAATCTTACCTTCATTCTAGCACTTCCACCTTTCTCTGGAAGGGGAAAATGTTCTTCTAGGAATCCACCCAGAGCATTCAAGAGTTCTTCCTTATACATCTTTTGTTTCAACATTTCATTTTGCAGTTCATGAAATGCTTCAATATTAAAACTAATAGTAAAAACATAGCAATAGAATATGGAATTAAATAAAATAATTAAAAAGTTATTCCTAAGTAAAAAAAAAAAACCTGTTTTTCTATTGTTATAAGTTCAACATCTTGAATCCCAGGATATAAGCAGATAGTAGCAATATTTTCCATGTTTCAAACGTAGATTACTGAGTTATTTGATCTACTTAACAAAACTAGTATCTCTTAAGAGTTTGTTTTCTTGCTCATTTGCTCTTGTTGATATTTAAATTCAATATAAAAACATAACACTGTAGAAATACCATTTTTTGGAAAGTTGAGCCTGGGTTTTTGTCTCTTCTTCAATTCCATTAAGAGCATCTAGTAGCTGCTCCTGTTCCTCATGCCACTGCTGTTCTCTTTGAAACATGAAAAGTAGGAAACAGGACAACAGATAAATAGTTTTCCTGGACAGTCAAATAAAAAAAGTGTGGTAAGAAAGTTTACAGCATTCATAAGTCCAAATTATTGCATTACCTTTTCAGATCTTTTTCCAGTTGTTTATTCTTTGACTGAATTGTTGACAGCATCATTTCAAGATCATTCTTTACTTTCTGCAACTATAAAAAAGTAAAAATAAACATACAGTTTGCAGATAGCCCAGTCTATAGTATTTGTTCTATGCAAGGCTACATCTTTAAGTCTGGTGAAGAGGGCCAAAATTATCTGTAATTTCTTAAGAAATATGGCTACAGAGTGCCACACTATTTTAAAATACAGATGGGGCTATTTAAAATGTTACTGTCACCAGTTGCTCATCAGTGTCTTACTGAAGTTCTATAAAACAACATAGTTGATTTTACCTAAAGCAGATTATGGAGCACACACATGAACTGCTCATCTGATGAAAGACTGAGGAGAAAACACCTACAGGACCAGGGCTGCATTGTCTAAATGTTTGCAGCTGTTTGCAAGAATGAATCCGTGCTAATTGCACCAACGCAAAATGTATAGCTCTCAGAAAACAAAGACGCTGCTAAGAAAGACTAGTTGCATCCATGAATAAAAAGGTCCTCAGTGATATGGACCTATTTGGGAGAAGAAAGAGGGAGAAATAAAACTACTGCAGCTAGAAGTTATATGCACTGCTGAAGATAGGGAACAGTGGACTCTCAGTGGACTGGGTCTCATTAGAACATTACATTCTACAAAGTTGTATTTAAGTTGGGTTTTTTTTAATATACGCATATGATTTGGATGTATTTTGTGTCCTTCCATGCAAACCATGAGAACTTTTACACTTAGATCAAAGAAATAAAAATTGTGAAAATATTCTACAAAAGCAAGTATGCTCTATATGTGCAACACCTGAAAAAAAATTGGAATCCTCAATAAAATAGGCCACAAAATGGGATATCAAATCAAACATGCCGTAGCAACACAGTCAAATGAAAGTGCATAACACCTTATTAATAGTGACTCTCAACAGCAGTTGGGTTCCCTGTTGTGAGTGACAGTAGAGGGAGGAAAGCTGTTAGGAAGAAGAAAACCAAACAGTTGTGGTTTTTATTTTAAGCAATAGCCACAGGAATATTCTCAGGTCATGTTGCATACCAATGTCGAATCAATATAGTGAAATGCTACCCCTAAGACATTCTTGATTTGCTTGCTCTTTCTTCCAAGGCTGGAATAACTCAACAAAATATTTGCAAATTATTGCCACAGAACTCTAGATCTAAGAATGACGACTCTTCTGTGTAACACATAGTGTTACGTTATTTTGTATCAAGAATGAAATGCAAAATATAGAAACTTTCTATTTAAAAGATCATTCATCACAACTAGGAAATTATAGTAGTTATGATACAGTGGAAGAAAAACACTAGAACAACAACAATGCCTGAAGAAACACAGGCAGCATCTTAGCAGTAGTCCATGACAGCAGTAGTCATACAAAAATGCAGCAGTTGTATACACTTTTTTTTTCAATGAAATGTTATTATCTCTTAACAAAAAAAAAAAAAAAAAAGACTTACCTCTTCTTTTCCTAATGTTAACAGTACATCTGGATTGGTAGAAGTTACTGAAAAATAAAATGAATTGGGTTTTTTGCATTGGATGATATAGACTTGTTTAGACTAAAAAGCAGCCTGGCTAGAGAGAAACTTGTGTAGCCTGTAAACAAACTAGTTTGGCTGTCAGCAGCAGTTTAACCACATTTTGCGGTGTCCCGCTGGGCTAACCTACTGTCACTTTTCAGTAAGCTAAATTAGACTGAAAAAAGTGTGGTGTTAATGCTTCTGCATTATTTTTTATACCTGAGTTAGCTCAGGTATGTAATATTGAAATGTGAAGTACAGTCATACTTCAAGATAAGCCAGCCTGATTTTTTTCAGTGAAGGGGATTCCATCAACATTACCAATGTCAGCAATCAAATTCCTCGAGTCTTCCAGCTCTTTGATAAACAGCCTGCCAAATGCTCGATCAGGATTGTAAAACCTATCAGATTTCAAGAACTTAAGAAGCATGTTACCATCCTTACTGTTCACATGAACAGCTACCTGTAGGGAGCTACCAGCAAGGCCAATGTCCAAACGCCAACCCTAAGCAACAGCAGTACTTAAGGAAAAGTACGGTACTATTCAAGGATGTGATAGTGTTAGCACATTAAGCTTCTGCCAAAACACAGTGATTTATGGCTCATGAATTTTCTGAATAAAAAGTGAACTGTTGTATTTGATAGCCTTCAATAGACTCCAATCAATTCTCAATTTCACGTCAACTTACAGCATCTCCATAAACATATGACTTTTGAAAAATCGAAGCATTTGAATCTATTAACAGGAGAAATGAAAGATACTCTGACAGATTTAAATCATAATATGACAGCAATATTTTTTGTCCAAGCTTGGGCTCCAAATCTCTAACCTTAAAAATAATTACCTCAATAAAAGCTTTTCCTTTAACAAAACAGAAAACTCTTAATCCTCTCGTAAAAGCACTAAGTATCTCCCAAGTACAATACAGTTGATTTCATAAATTTATAAAAAAAAATACTTTTTTGGTAAAGTGATTTTATAGTTTTTATCTCCACAAATTTTAAGAAGCCTTAGATTAGTAGTTTTTTAAGCAGTGTTGGTTCTGAGATGAAAAATCAGCAAAACTGAGTTCAAAGTACATTAAATTACATGTCACAATGAAATTAATTTAGAGAGATAATTACTGTCTGTCATGGATGGAAGTATTTGACACAATTATGACAGCAGCGATTCAAACTTTATTAGTAATTTGAGATAAATCAAGAGGTTGAATTTTAGCAGCACTTAATCATTAACTGATTTAGAGGTTTTACAAAGTGATTTAACAAAACAACTAAACAGTGACTTAATTACAGATTCGAAGATGGCAAGATTCACATTAACTTACTATAAAGTATCCCAAATCAATAAGTATACGTATAAGCAAAAACACAGATCTCAGATTAATGCATACACATATAAGCAAAGCATATAAGCGCACACATACACACACCGGTCTATAACCACTGAGATCAAAGATCTCTTAATATTGCACCACTCTAATGAGCCAGCGGGTACCGCTTTTAACTCCTATGGGTGCATGAGCAAACGGAAGAACATCCACATCCATAAAGCTAACATATATTGATCATAAACTTTTAAGTGGAGAGGTGGATGGAGGAGAGGCTAGCCTATCATTAAAATTTCCCCTTCTTGAGTTAGAGTAAATACTCGCAATATATCGGTATTCTTCAATGGGCAATAATTGAGGCTCGAGAAAGGTTTGTCTCGCCCTGGCCTTCTAGTCCTTGAGGTGCTGCCTGAGCAGCATCCCAACTTGGGAGAGATACTGGCCACAGCCTGCTGTGATCCAGAAGAGCTCAAAGGGTCTTTACTGGGATTGCCACTTACAGGATCTGAGATCATTGGCTTTTGTCAGGTACTTTTCCACTCCAGCCCAGCTCAAACAATGGAGTATTTCGGTACTTTCCACAGTTATGCAAGCCCAAGACTTGCTAGAACATGTGATCCTGGTACCCCCCTCTCTGTGGCCACGATCCATATGCTGTCAGGAGTGATCAATTACAGTTATTATCTTTAAACAGTAGGAGCCATAGGGACTAGGTACACTATTGCATTCTTGGTCCGTTGCTCTCCACATTTTCTTTCTTTCATGTTAGACCATTGTGTTACGTTCTTTTCCAGCGTATTCTTATGTGTCCCAGGTGGGGAGGACATCATGCCAAGTACCAAGAGGCCTAAGGTGGTGGTGAGGGGACATTGCACCACCACACTGTCTCTAAATCTTGACACAAAATTTGAGTAGAGTGCTCCCAAATTAAGCTTATGTTTAAGAGCTGTGGGAGGTAGTGATCTGTGATATTATTATAGCAAGATTTCTTTAATGACATGAATATCCTACATACACATGATAAAATCCATTAGTGTGCTTTTATTCACATTTACTGGTATATTTGAAGAAACCCACGCAACTCTTGTCCCTGCCACCCCCATCCCCCAACTCCCAGCCCCGATTATCCTGAGTCCTCGCTACCTGGAATTATCAAATTCTACTATTGTTTCTACCACTTCTTCATTTTTAGATACTTAATCCTGAGTATGTGCTTCCTATTCAATATTCATATTGTGTGAGTATCAGAATAGAAGGCAACATCTTCCTAGGAAAGAAATCACTAACCCTAATTTAGTAAAGGAATAGTGCAGATCTAAGACACTGGGACAACACATTTATGATGGCTGCTACTGTAAAGAACATAGGTTGCTCTGTATACTATCAGTTAAAGCTTTTTCAGTTATAAATCACTACATTTGCAAAAAATCAAATGTCAAACAGAATTGCCTAGTGATATATAGTAAAATTACTACGCAAAACACTACCAGATGCGAGGAATGTAAAAGCAACTACTATGCACATATTTATACAGAAACTTCTATTAAAATAAGAGGAATTTGGAAGAATACTGACATTTTGCAAAGAAATTATGCAGAAACCACAGCTATTAATGGTTTAAAATATGGTTGCTTCCACTGCCTTACTTTGCAAAGGTAAAAGTTAAATTCTATTTTTATGAGTGAAATGCTTGTTAAAAAAGTTTTAAAGCTGATTTAGCAGCTCTAGAGCTACATAAATAGCGCCAGAAATTGAGAAAGAACAAGAGAGTAAGGTAAAAGCTTTGCAAAAATAAAATTTGCATAGTGGATTCAAGTCTGTTTGCCAATATTGTGCCCAAAGAAATGTAGAACTGCCAAGTTATAACCTCAGAAAATAAGGTTTAAAATTGGAATGCTGACAGGCCCTCATTTACAAGAAATGAGCTGGCCATTACTAAATTCTTAGCAGCAACTTCTTTTTTCTTACCTCAGAAAGGTAGCCAAAAAGGCAAAGCTTTGGCTGCAAAATATTATTTGCATTATAATATGCATAGATCATTTCTCTAGTACAAAACTAAGATTTCTAATAATAAATCTTATCACCTGGGAACAAGTAAGAATGGTTGAGCAAAGTAAGTCAGCAAGCCAATAAAAATAGGTCAAGCCCCAAGAATATTTTTAAGCAAATACCTTCAAGTTAAAAATAATAATATATTTTAGTAAGGAAACCCAACATCTCCAGGTATTCTACCCAGATAAAAACTATGAGTGCTTTCAATTCATTTGCTTTAAGCCAGCAACTTATTCATGAGCAGCAGCCAAGAACCAGTATTTCCCAAATTCATTCAATGTCATGCTTTTGGTCTACATACCTCTAAGAAGTATTTGAGGATGACCGTTCTTAGACAGACTCACAAAGCACATGAACCATGAATTTATTCTAATAAATCAGTAGCATCTATTTATAAGGAAGATTTTTTTTTTTGCCAGCTCCTATTATTTGATCACAATATGCAGCAAGTACATAAACTTTGAAAGTAGCTGGAAAAGTGACTTCTAATGCTGATCTGAAAGTGCATTCCAATTTGGCCCAATGACAAAATATCAGAAATCATCATTTGCTGTCTGAAACACATCCTTATTGTTTTGTAATCACTAAAAAACCAAAGCCTTTTCTGGCATAAAAATATTCAAATGAGTCAATGTATCCATTTAAAGACTAACTAATAAGTTTTACTGGGTTGAAAGCTGCTAACAGGTCCTTGACAGGAGACGTAACAGTGAGTGCTTCCAGAATACTAATGATAGTGTAGTATGAACTGTTTTAGGAGTCTCCAAATAGAACATCTGGAAGACCAGATTACTTTACTCACACTTCTGAATGGTTTTATTTTCAGTGTCTGGCCACAACAGCCTTGCAACAGAGTTAAATCAGTCAGCAACGATGCTTATGTACAAAAAGCATTTTGAAGAACTGAGGAATTTATACCTTCTGACTGATAATGTTTAACAAATATAAGAACTACACTTGGATCAGTGGTTTGTGCTTCTCGGGATCAATAAGTGATCTGGATTCTTGTGTTGTTCAAATAAACTGAGGTGTCTTGTACTACCTTTTCTTGACCTGAAGTCTCCAACCCCTGTTAAATCCAAGCTAGATATTTTATTATGGTGTAATAGGCTTACCACTAGAGGTTTATTCCAAAGTTTCAGCTAGTACATCATAATACAACACACTTTCATGAAGTAGTAATAAAAAGAATCCACGGAGATATGGTTAAAAATATGTCTGGGTAGATTATTGTTAGTTTATTAACAATATTTGCAAAGATTAAAAAAAATGTGTCAGCTTCTTAAAAGACAAAATGAAGACAGAATTTTTGCCAAAGTAGTTCTGTCACAAAAAGGAAATACAAATGAAAGACAGAGAGGAAACAATCACTGAAAGTACAAATGTGAAGGACTGTAACAAAATAATGAACTTTTGTTATTTTGTTAGATCTGCTAACAGTTATTTTTCCATTAGCTGACTGATGAACGGTGATATTAATCATGCATTTATTTGTTCAGAATCATAAGATTAAATTATAGTAGAATTCACTGTGAATTTCAAGTTCACTTAGAACCGAAGTCCCGAAAGAATATAGAAGAAAAACACACATGCTACTGCAGGAAGTATTTAATTTAATTTTTAAGTAGTTATAGTATGAAAACACAATCAGCAGACATTTGATAGATACACAGTTTAAGATGCCTAGATGAAAGAGACTTTGCAGAAGTTTATATAAGTATACCTTACGTGAATGCAGTTACTTACATTCAGGACTTCTTTTTTGCCATTGATGATATTCTGCTGTTAAAGTTTTCACTTGCATCATTAACAAGGCAAGCTGTATAACAAGAAAAGAAGCACCTCTTGCAATGTCTTAAGTTGCATTGGAGTAAAATGAGATAGAGTGGTATAGAAATTCAGTTATTAAGTTTATACAGGAGAAAACAAAAGAGCATATATTACAATAGACCACTTACTCCTTCAAAAGATTTTAAAAGCCATTTGTGGGGATCCAGAAACTTTTTTTTTTTCCCCTCAAAAGGGGGAAATCAGAAATAGCCAGAATTGGAACTTTTCCCCTAATTTCCTCTGTCATATCAGACAATGACCACAACAGAAGGTGAGCCGTGAGAAGCAGTGACAGTACTTCATATCCCCACTCCTCCTTAGGTGCATGGTTGATGACTATTGAAGGTTAAACGGACTGTGCTAGAGATGTGTGATGACTAAACAAAAGATTGGCTTTCAAAAAACCAGCAGTCAAATAAGTCTTCTATAAAAGTCACATCTGTGGACTCAACAAAAAATGCTTTCGAACCAGTGCTCTAGCTCACTGTAATCATTGAAAATATAGGAGCAATAAGAAAAAACACCAGTTCAGAAAAGTTTATTTAAAAAAAACCACACTAAACAAGCGTAGATTTTTCAAAGTGTACTTATTTTAATATATTACTATATTCTGGAGAAAGAATATACTCATTATTACTATTCTAGTTCCTGAAACTGAGGACTGCACCTGTAATTCTCTTTAAATACATTGTAAATTACATATAAATATCATATTACAAGTAATATGGTAAGAAATTAAGCATACATTTAAATATACAAGGTACTGTTGATATGGTCAAGCATTTCACAAAAAGCACTAGCAGATTGCATTTGGTTTTACATGAACTAAAAAGAGAAAAATATGCTAAGAATCATCATCCAAGTTCTTAAAATAAAAATATCAAGAATTGACAACTTAACCTTAGCTTTTACTACCAAAATTAACTTTGTAAAGGTTTTTTTTTTTTAAATAAATGAAAAGAAAATAAATCCAAAACAAAAGAAATAACCATCATACAAATATCTTTTCTTTTCTAGATCAGGTTGTGTTGTCTCTTTCTTCATGGAGCACTACTCTTGACAACACTATCAGCTGATTCTTTGTTCCTTTAAACTTGATGAAAAGGTATGTCTGAAACGTTCTGGATCTTCCAGTAATTGGACAAAAAAAACCCACTTTCAAACAAATTAACACTATCATTCAGCAATCTTTAAATCAAGGACCACTTTCTATCATTTATCAGCAGTCCCAGCTAACTCGGAAGGTCCCAGTTGACTGCAGGTTAGCAAGTGTGACGCCCATCCAGAAGAAGAGCTGGAAGGAAGACCCAGGAAACTATAGGTCTGTCAGTCTGACCACAGCACCAGGGAAGGTTATGGAACAGATCATCCTGAGTGTCATTATGCGGCAAATGCAGGAGAACCAGGTGATCAGGCCCAGCCAGCATGGATCTATGAAAGGCAGGTCCTGTTTGACAAACCCGATCTCTCTATGACAGTATGAACCACTTAGTGGATGAGGGAAAGGCTGTGGATGTTGTCAATGGGCAACAAGGCTCAACAAGGCCAAGTGCCGGGTCCTGCACTTGGGTCACAACAACACTACAGGCTTGGGGAAGAATGGATGGAAAGCTGCCCGGCAGAAAAGAACCTGGGGGTGTTGGTTGACAGCCATCTGAATATGAGCTGGCGGTGTGCCCAGGTGGCCAAGAAGGCCAACAGCATCCTGGCCTGTATAAGCAATAGTGTGGCCAGCAGGACTAGGGAAGTGACCGTCCCCCTGTACTTGGCGCTGGTGAAGCCACACCTCAAATACTGTGTTCAGGTTTGGGCCGCTCACTACAAGACAGACATAGAGGTGCTGGAGTGTGTCCAGAGAAGGGCGATGAAGCCGGTGAGGGGTATAGAGCACAAGTCTCATGAAGAGCAGCTGAGGGAACTGGGGTTGTTTAGCCTGGAGAAAAGGAGGCTGAGGGAAGACCTTATCGCTCTCTACAACTACCTGAAAGGAGACTGTAGCGAGTTGGGGGTAGACTTCTTCTTGCTAGTAACAAGTGATAGGACAAGAGGAAATGGCCTCAATTTACACCAGGGTAGGTTTAGAATGGATATTAGTGGAAGTGGTGGAATCACCATCCCTGGAGGTATTTAAAAGATGGGCAGACGTGGTGCTTAGGGCCATGGTTTAGTGGTGGTTTTGGCAGTGTTAAGTTGATGTCTGGACTCAATGATCTTAAAGATCAGTTCCAACCTAGGGAATTCCGTGATTCTAGGACCATCTTTTCAACATATAGCAAATATGTACATCAGATGTGTCTCTCTCATAGCCCATATACACTTATAGAATCACAGAATGGTTTAGGTTGAAAGGGACCTTAGAGACAATCTAATTCCAAGCCCCCTGCCATGGGCAGGGACACCTTCCACTAGACCAGCTTGCTCCAAGCCCCATCCAGCCTAGCCTTGAACACTTCCAGGGACTGGGCCTCCACAACTTCCCTGGGCAACCTGTTCCAGTGTCTCACCACCCTCAGAGTGAAAAATTTCTGCCTAATAACTAATCTAAATCTTCCAGTTTGAAGCCATAACTCCTTGTCCTATTACTACGTGCCTTTGTAAAATGTCCCTCCCCAGCTTTCCTTTGAACCATTCCCATGTGTCCTATCGCTGGATAAGCAGGAGAAGAGCTCAGCACATCCCTCTCCTCTTCCCCTTCTCAGGAAGCCGTAGAGCACCAGGGTCACCCCTCAGCCTCCTTCTCTCCAAACTAGACAAGCCCAAATTCCTTAGCCACTCCTTATGGACATGCCTTCCAACCCTTACACCAGGTTTGTTGTCCTCCTCTGGACATATTCAAGGATCTTCACATCCTTCTTAAATTGTGGGGCCCAGAACTGCACCCAGTACTCCAGGTGAGGCTGCACCAACACTGAATACAGCAGGATAGTCACCTCTTTTGACCAGCTGGTGATGATGCTTTTGATGCACCCCAGGATGTGGTTTGCCCTCTTGGCTGCCACAGCACACTGCTGACTCATATTGAGCCTGCTGTGGACCAGCATCCCCCGACCCCTCTCTGCTCTCCAGCCACTCCCCTCCTAGTTTATATTTGTGCTTGGCATTACTCTGTCCCAGGTGCAAAATGCAACATTTGGACTTGTTAGAATTCATCCCACTGATGATTGCCCTATGCTCCAGTCTATCTAGATCCATCTGCAAGGCCTCATGTCCACTGAGGGAGTCAACAGCACCTCCCAGCTTGGTATTATCAGCAAACTTGCTAATGGTGCATTCAATTCCTGCATTCAGATCATTGATAAGCATATGGAACAGAACTGGCCCTAGAACTGAGCCCTGAGGAACACCGCAGTGACCAGACACCAGCTAGATGTAGCCCCCCTTCACTACAACCCTTTGAGTGCTGCCATCCAGCTGGTTCTTCACCCAGCACACTGTGTACCTGGTCATCTCACAGTTGAACAACATGTCCAGAAGGATGCTGTGAGAGACAGTACCAAAAGCCCTACTAAAACCCAGAAAAACTACATCCACTGCCTTCCCTTCATCTGCTAACCAGATGACCTTATCTTAGAAGAATACCAAGTTAGTTAAACAGGACTTTCCGTCGGCAAACCCACGTTGACTGTGCCCGATGATTGTATGGTTCTTTAAATGTCTTTCAATGGCACCCAGTATGATCTTCTCCATAATTTTTCCAGGCACTGATGTTAGACTAACAGGTCTGTAGTTTCCCAGGTCAATACAAGTGCCTATGTTAGGACTGCAATAAGATCCCATTAAAGTTGCTGACACAGGATAACATGACCTTTTCCTCTCCTCCCTATTTTCTATCATGAAGTGCGATCTTAATTTGATCTTCAGTTTTGCAATTCCATTTAATCGTTGTCTTGCTATGACAGTGTAAAAAAAAAAACTTCTCGAAAGTTTAATTACAAGGGCATGATGTGCTTTGGTAAAGCTGCAAAGAAACATAAAAACCTCAGTCTACACCCAATTAAAATTATACAAAGTTTATTTCTACTTAAAGTATTTTATCCAGTCATAAAAGGAGACAAAGACTGTATTTTATGCATTTGAATATGCATCTTCATTTATTTATTCTGATTAAATAATAGTTTAGAACATAGTTTATTACTAGCAAGAGAGTAATGTTAGCAATTACATAGTAATTAAACATCTGAATGTATTCAGATACATCTCTGAAGAAAATTGCTCTTTGTTAATTATTCAGTCAAGTGTATTGAATTAACTATCCGAATACTCTTACTGAAGTCACACAAGACGGAGATTTAAGACCTACATATTTCACCCAACTAGCCCAATATTTAACTATTCATACTTTCCAAATTTGGGGTCCTCATATAAATTCTATTTTAAAGGTTCCTATTTAGAATCTACAAGCAACTAAACAGTGAGCCAGCATTGTCTTTTTGCATGTTCCCCAAAATTTGAGGGATATAGGAGCTTACATTCATGCAGTAAGCATCACTCAATTAATTTCTAATTCAAGCACATCAGTTTCCTGATTATATCCACAAATGGGGGAAGAACTGTAGTTTACAATACAAAGTTCCAGAGTAAAACTTAAGGGATCCATATAGAGTTTCACCAATTACATAGACACTTATTAGGAAACAGTCAAAATGGGTACTGAAGTTACACAGCATTCCATTTTGCTGCCTATGTTGTCATTTACCAGTTGTGTGGCAGGACTGCACGTAACTTTTTTGCTAGACATAAATGAAACTTTTCAGTATTTGCTAGATACATGCTTCAGAATACAGCTTCAAAGTTAATAAGAATAAGACTGTCAGCTTTAGAGAATAAGTGAAGACAATTTAGTTTTCCTCTTTTGGAAACACACCATATTGTTACAGAAAACTAAATATTTTGTAGAGAATTAAAGAAAAAATAAAATACAAAAATCAAATACTGTCTTACCTTGACATCTGATTTTAACAGTGTTTCTGTTCCTTGAAGCATTAGCTTGCTCTGACACTTGGTAGAAAACAAACAAAAAACAAACAAGATTTACTTATTCTCTTTTGTAAGAAAGAAACACAATGCTTGGAAATTCCAAAAAAAAGTTGTTTAGTATAGGAAACGGAATTTTGACTTCACTTCTACACCATCCCTCAGAGTCTGACACAGAACAGCAAATTAAGAAGTATTTTGAAATCATACCACAGTAAAAAAGTAGGACTTTAATTAACTGAAAAGTAGCAGCTAACAAAATATGTATGATCTGAGGGAAAAGGCAAGTTATAGGGGAGAAGTGGGGATGGGGAAGGACACAACAGATGAACATGAGAAACTGCGAAGAGAGAGAGTCATCGACAAGGCTGAACAGGGAAGCTGCTGAGAAGTTAACACAGTTACTGCTACTATTCTGGCTCTCCAAATAGACTACTCGCATTATAATGCACATTTTTAGTTTTAACTCATTTACAGCAACATACTGTACACTTCAGAAACCGTCTGATTTTCAGAAGTGCACTACATCAGCTCTTATGACTGCAATGGAACGTATATCAAGTCTGAAATTCAGGCCACCACAGATATCCAAGGGTTCAAAAACACCTGCTAAACTCTTTCTTGTTTTATAACTGCCAGCAATTTAACCTGTGCCATGACAGGGCAGGATGTATTCTACTAAGCAGTAAAACTACTAAGCAGTACTTTGGAAACCTTGCTGTTACTGTTTAGGAACGAAAACATAACATAGGATTTCTCTAATAAAACTGCTAATGCTGACACGCAATCATTGGAACATTACATCATAAACCACGTAACCTAGGAGTTAATTCAATGACTATTAGTTGTTTAAACTTTTTGATGAAACGTGTGTGCATCCAGGATGCAAACAACCACAAAGTAATAAAAATCCTAGGTTTTTTTTTTAATCAGCTTCCAGAAACAGCGCACATTATCACTTCCTGTATTGTTTTGGGGATACTGAAGATGAGATACAAGATACCAAGGATCTTCAATTAAATTCAAAATAATTGAATAAATTCTAATTTCCCTTCTAATCTGAAAATTTCAAAGAAAGTTCACATCCTCTGAATTGGTGCCAAACAAAACTTCTGTTGGTAACTTATACAGTACTTCAGAAACTTAGACACAGGATTCTGTCACATTTTCAAAATATTTCAAGATAAGTTTACATGTAGCAACAAATAAAAATCACATTAGTCCTTTTGAAACTAATTCTGTAAAATGATTGCACTGCGGGTTGTTTATACTTTGTTCTACTTTAAGTTTGGAAGTATTTTTACTTCAGTTTCTGATACTTTTCATGCTTTGAATCGACAGCTTAGAACTCAAGCAAATAGCATATAAATACAACATAAAACTGAGTGAAACAATTAAGATTCTCCAAATATAAGTTAGAGCATCACTTTTCATCAGAGTCTTACAGTAGGTATAGCACAGCAGTCCCTCAGAACTGTTAAAAGTTTATCTTTCTGGGATTCCTGTAAATAAAAATAACTTATTCTAAAATGTTCTTCTTATTAGCATATTGGACCACATATCCAGAGAGATAAATTTTATTCTTGAGGATGTAACCATAAGGTTGCGTAAGCATATGCTAACATCATCATCCTTCTCAGCCACTTTCCCCTCCCATTCTCTCTCACCTTTGAGATCAAAACTACTTGTGAACAGCAGCGGAATCCCATCTTTACAAGGCTAAAGAGAGAAGGATCTCAAGCCTCAGTGTGCTGGTTCTGCTACCAGAACACAAGTAAATTGTTTAATTTTCTCTAGTTTTAACAAACATTCCCATTCTATTTAACTAAACCGTAACATCAGCACACCATAAACAGAATTTGACACTGCAAGGCACTCCTGCCAGCAGTTCTACCCTTGGCCTTTCTGAAGATCTTTATCTTCACTGGCCCCTCCCTTTTTTTTTTTTTTTCTTGTTTTGTTGGTGTGGTTTCTTTGGGGGCGAGGTAAGCATGCAGTGAAGGATGGGGACATGAACAAAAAAAAGCTGAGGCAAGTTTACAACAAATCTATTCTGTCACTTGTGATTTGCATACCTCTTCCATGTGCTTCCAAATACTCTCACATTCATTCAAGATTTCTTCCTTGGCGTCTATAGGACAGACGTAGTCACTGGGGATTTCTGGTAAAGAGTCAGCCTGTCAGCAAGCAAATAGAAGTTATCACGTAGATCCACAATAGTTATTAACTGGTTACTGAATCATACCTACTACTTCAGGTCAAACATGTAACAGCAATCCCTCTGAATCCAAAGCTTTCAGTTACCTCCCCTGTACTTCTAGACAGCACCTGATCACTCAGTAAAATCAGCTAACTATATTATGATAGTAAAATTTGAAGACACTAATAATGTTTTTTAAAATTGAATCAAAGTCCTAAGTTTTCAGAACTGCTTTGATTATCTGCAATGGCGTTTTTCTTTTTCTGACAAAGTTTTATTTTTTAATAAGAGAATCTCAGCTCTACAAAGCCATGCTTTTCTTCCACACATCTGCAAAGTTCTTAAGCATAGTTACTTCTGCTCTGTCTTCCAATAAACGTCCTAATCTTTTTCTCCTTATGACAAGTTCATTTCAGAATCTTTTTGATTAACAAAGTAAAGTGTCCTGGAGGTTGCTAGAAAGGCAAACAAAAAGCCTCAAAAGTATGCAGGCAACCAAGGAAAGAGGGCACCAGGACAGCCAAGAGAAAAAAAAAAACAAAAACAAAAAACATCAACCCAAGTTAAATTGAAAAGTTTAAGAAACTGTTGGGTCAGATAGAAAACATACAAATTCAGAAATTTAATGCTAGTTAAATCTATAAAGAGATACATGAATGACAACAGCAATTAAGAGGGAAAACCAAGAAGGGACAAAAAGGCACTCAGGGAATTTTTGTTTTTGAAGGCAAAACGGGAATTTCCTGAATGTGCAAGATGCAGGAAGCCTTTCAAAATACTTAAATGGGTCACTAAGACCACCAAATACTTAAGAAGTTAAAAAAGATAAAGTTCTAAAGAAGAATTAAATCTCTCTGCCTTCTTAATGATGCACTAACTCAACATTTTGTTCATTTTCAGAACAAAAACGCAGCATCAGAGAAAAACGATGTTGATAACCTGAATAATTTAAAAGGAGTGAAATATTCAACTAGAACCTCCAAAGTTTAAGTATGCCATAGTAGAGTGGCTAAGAAAAAAAAAAAAAAAAAAATCAGTGTTTCACTGAACACTGGAAGTATTCTAGAGAACCGAAAGGTAGCAATTCTTCTACTAAGCCTTCCCAGCAAATTTGTTGCCTCAATAATCAAAAACAGAACACCAGACAATCTAGATTGCCATGATCTGATAAGGTCTAATGAGCACAGTTTTTCCAAAGGAAAAATCATTATTTTCTTAAGAGTCTTGGAATGTCTCCACAACATAAAAGAGAACTAGTTTACATAATTTATTAACGCATCTGAAATGCCTCCAGGGAGGTCCGACACAGAAGGCTAATAAGGAAATTAAGCAGCCTTGAGATGCAATGTACTTTTTTTCTTCAGACCAAAAACTATCAAGGAGACAAACAAAAGCCCGAACAGATAATTTTCACCACGGGAAAAAGGCTCAGCAACAGAGCTAAGAGGGCGTGAAAGAAAACAAAAGGGGAGGGGGCAGGGGGAAGAGGAAGATATGACCTTTGGAAATTTGAAAGGGGTCTTGGGGTGGAATAGAAAGTCCTATCCCCATATGTTCCCTTGCAATAATACAGTCCATCAACATGAAAACATTATATGAAAAAAAATCTCTGAACGTACCGCCAAAACCCCCAAAAATGTTTAAGTTATTAGAATGATTTTATTATCCTTGACCTTCAAAATTTCCATGCTTGATTTCACAGAAAGTTTCAAAATGTGCATACATGAGGAGATTCCACAGGCCTCTGTAACACGAGCCAAAATGACTTGTGGTCCCTAGTACTGAGCTGTCAATTACCTTGTAGATTATATTTATATATAATTATACAGTGTCATGTTCAGATGTTTTTCCTTGTAGGCTGCATTTTTCCCTATTTCTGTATGGTAATATTAGACTTCTATTTGTACACTGTACCTGAAATGTGAAGACTTTTTTTTTTTTTTGCATGTCATTAACAATAATGCATTCCAGTTTTAACGTGCTATTCCTTCTTACCTCATTTTAGAACTACATAATTGGGTAAAAAAATGCACCCAGGGACAAGTGTGCATTGCAGGCTCTCTGCCAGCCCCGCAAACAGGCAAGCTTTATGGGAAATGTTTTATATCAATAAATACAAAACGACCCAACTACTGGAATAAATTCAGAGATGAGAAAAGAAAGTAACAGCGGCCCTGGGCAACCTGATAGGAAAGAAAAAAAAAAAAGAAGAAGAAGAAAAAAAAAAAAAGACAGAAAACCAGGAGATCACTTCAGGAAGGAGAAGACTAAAAGCAGGATACCAGTAACATCGCAAAAGCGGTTAGAGAGGGAGCTCCCGTTCGCCCTGGTACGGGCCAGAGAACTACAGCAAGAGCTCCCACTCCCCCTGACAACAGACCCCCAGAACGACAGCAGCGACAGGAGGACGTGGGGAAGGCGGTTTCTCCTCACAGGCTGGGGCTGAAACGCAGCCATTCCCCGCGCGGGAGCAGCCCCGGGGTCA